TCACTGCATTTCATGGGCTCCAACTCTCCCTGGCCCTCTGCTGATGGCCCGCTCTTGGCGCTTGCAGGGCTATGCCTCCAGGTGTGTGACCCTCCTGTGGGCATTTAATCCATTCAGTTTTGATCAAAATTCTATGAAGTCTATTTCTATTCTACAAGTCTAATGTGAGTTTAGGGCCCATTCTCATTTCTCAACCCTTGATCTTAGTTGATAACTTTGTTCCAATAAAGAGGTCATATTGTTCAGTGATTTTTTTATTAGTATAATATTGAACAGATTAGTAAATGGAATACAAGGAAAACAACATAAAGAGATGTAATATGATTGATAGAAGGTCTAATGGTGCTTTCTAAATGAAAATCTTATTTGATAAGTTTTATCTTTCCTTGTCATTGCCAAGATATCATATCAAATTACATTCTTTTGCCTTCCCAGTATAGTGCGATATGATTAAAAAAAAACAAAACTGTTCATTTCAAACTATTTGAGAACAGGCAAATACTAGATGTGTATCCTGCCAAATAAAGGAGATAATTAAGCACCTGATAGGGTTCTTTCAACTGTATTATTAGATATATTTCTATAGTCAAGTTCTGGAGGTACACTTCGGTATATTCAATAGATCTTTTAAAATTTTCTTCAGTGAGCCAGCAAGTTTTCAAAAACATCATAGATCAGTACTATTAGTTTTGTTGATTATGTTTCAAAGGTGACATTCATAAATCAAAAATGGAGAGAGCTTCACCTTTCCAGCATAAAATTATATAAGCATCTAAACCAAGTTTAAAAGCAACAAGGACTGTGAATATAATCCATTTTTTTTTTCTCTTCAGTGCATGTTAGGAAGAAAACAGACCCACATAGTCTAAGAAAAAGAAACTAATCTTTGTTGTATGTTTACTCTTGGCCAGCCTCTGTGGGAAGCTCCGATTATTTAATTCTTACAAGAATTCTTTATGGCATATTATCATTATTATGCCCAGAGGTTTAGACAGACTCAGGGAAGTTAAATAATTTGTTCAGGATTATACAGCTACCAATTGGTAGTACCTGCATTCACACATATATTGGGCTCATATAAAAGTCAAACTCTTTATCCCAAACAGTTCCAAAGTACTGGGATTCCTTAACTCTACTAATTTTTGTCTGGTAAAACTTTGGGTCTTATCTAATTTCCCAAGATACACAGTAGAGTAATTTTTTAGGCTTGTTAAGGACATGTGGTATCAAACAGGACCAGGAATTCCTCCTACAAAGCATTTCACAATAAATGCTATGAGGAAAGATTATAATGTTATCTCAATCTACAAGAAGATTGTTGAGATTCCTATTATTCTTTTGATGATGGAAAAGATATGATATGGTCATACAGAAGTGAATATTTATCCACCTACTTAGTTTTTTTTTTGCATTTCATATGCTCTAATACCATACAAATAACTTAAGAATTTTTTTAAGAAATCCATATCTGCTTATAAGAAATTTTAGTGACTTTAATTTTCTATTTCAGTATCAGAAAAGACACTATTCATGTAATGGAAAGACATTTGAGCTCTGTAGTTGAAACTTACATTCCCGTTCCTCTTCAGTAAGAAGGAAAACATTAAAGATTTAGAATTACCAAGCTTCATTTTCTTTAAAACAAAAGTAATCAAAATAAATGGCATAATAAAACTGTTAGAGGTGACAGGATGTATTGCAAATGTCAACGAGTATCTTTTCTCTAGTTTAGCAATTTTCAGCCAACTTAGGCTAAAGCAGTAAAAGGAGCTTTGTGGATAAAATACACACTACAGGATGGAAATAGCCAAGATTCTCTTCCAGGTGGCTAGGAGCATGTTGCTCTCCTGCATAACATCACTCAGAATGAATGCCTCAAGAGGTGCAGCCATCTCTTTCTTTGTCAACAAAGGCTGCCCTACGGAAGGTGGATAGACTTTAAGGAGCATTCAATCCTCCTTCACTGGGTAGCTGAAAGTAATTTTAGAGGGTCTAAACTTCTTCATGACTACTTATTCATGACTTTGTAAAATTCTAGAAGACAGAGCAAGTTCAATCAAATCACCATTAGATGACAATTAACAGATGTTTATCAGTTATTCTCCCCTAATACAAATCATTTCACACATGGCATATGATATGAGAGAGGGTTTTTGTTTGTTTGTTTTGGTGTTTTCTTTGCAGGGCTACCAAATAAGGACATTTTGAATTGCTGGAGCTAATCAAAAGTGCAAAGGAAAGATTTATTTTCTACTTTGTACTTTCTGAAAACAAGTTTAAAAAACAGAGTAGTGCACACTAAGGAGAAATCAAAAGCCCAATACCTTCAAGTAGGTACATATAATTTCTCAGGGAGGGACTGACAAGCTGAACATGAAATGGTATTTGTTAAGGATGATATCACAAGTAAAAACAAGCCATTCTCCATTAAAGAATTCCAAATTATTTAAAGACTTATTCACAGGAACACATTCTTTATGAGTATATATTAATATACAGCTCTTCTAAATATCAGTAAGGTAGTCTGAAACTATTTTGACAATGATTCAGTCTGTTCAAACTCATGTCAGAAGTAAAAGAAAGATTTTTAAATTTATTTTTTTCTTTTTAAGCATTAGAGTAAAATGTCTTCTACGTTAAAGTAATCAAGTCCATTGCTCTTAGAGATTTTGGGGGTAGACTTATCAAGTCCACAAGGAAGACTCTCCTAGAACTTGTGGAATTAGATTACCTTTGAATTCTCACCCCAACTTTGAATAGTCACTAATTCCTTTCTTTGCTCTTTTGGTGTTTGCAAAGGGGTTCGCTAAAGCCTGAATTGATATAATTATTGGCTCAGATTGTTAGAGATCTAGGCCAGATGGCTATGGATTTCTAAAGTTCCTGTTGCTTGTGGTAGTTTCCCTAGTTTGCCTATAGGGTTTGGAGATCAACAATTTGAAAGGTCTACAACCTTGTAAAACAGTATTATTCATGGGGGCAGAATGTTCATCAGCGTGACCCAGTGCTAAATACATTCATTATAGGCATTTCTATTCTGCACAATTTGCCACACAGCGCTGGTTTCTGGGGCGGGGGGGGGGGAGGGGAAGACAATGGCTTATAAAATGCTTTTGAATGCCTAAAAAGAAGGAGAGTTCACGCTGAGACTACTCTGCTTTCTTTCTTGGAAGGAACCTTCTTAGTGACTTTAGCTGAGCTCTGCTGAGAGTAAGCAAAGTGGAAAAATCAGAAAATTACCTTTTTTATATGTTTCCGGGGGGGGCAAAATAGAGAGTGGGAGAAAATAAATGGAAAATAGTGACAGTGAGATTATGTGAAACAGCAAATCTGCAAGTGGATGAAGACAGCTGAGGAATAATGCAAGAGGTACCAAAAAAAAAAAAAAAAGGGCAGCAATAGAGCCATGATGATAAACTTAAAAGGAATTGCAGAGCAGAAAGAACATCATAAATAATCATATTTTCAAATAAGAATACCATATCAGTTTCTGTGACCTGGATAGAACACAAGCCTCCCATGATATTTCCTAGCATTTTGATGCACACAAAATGCAATTTTCAGCTCAGGCATTTTATTCTTCAATGTAAACAAGCTTTGGGTTCTTAAAATACATATCTGAAAAGTGCTTTCATAAATAATACATATGTTATAAAAATTTGACTTGTAAACTGTTGAGTCCATGTCCCCCCAGTATTCGTTGTGAAGACTCACCATGTATAGATAATACCTTTTGGTAGAAACTGGCACGCTAAAGCATGAAACGTCTTTTACTCAAGGTAAATAGGATTTTTTGAAGTATAAGACAAAGAAATATCATAGCCAGTTTTGCCCCAACTCAAAGAAAGAAGGGCTATATGGCAGAATTATATTGGTAATTAGTTTCAAATCCTAAGGTGCTCCTTTAAATCTTGCTAATTAAGAGAAATCAAGAGTGGAAAATAGCCCTTTTCTTATCTTCAAAGAATAAAGATGAAAGAAAAGCAGAAAATGAAACCTCCTTACTTGTTCTGTTCTTTCAAACAGGGCTCCAAGAAAATCTGCTTGTGCTCACAGGAGAAAGACCCAAGTATTTACAGAGGGGGAGGGGAAGGAAGCGGTCTGAGAAGCATAATTAGAAGCAAGTTTTCAAATTTTATTAAATTCCTTCACCGACAAAATGCTCTTAGAGGTGTTTTAAGTTAAACCAGTACTTAAAGACTATGAAAAGCAAGATGATTGCATGTTTGTGGAAGAAGAAAGGGCAATTAAGAAAACCAGAACAATTTAAAATGCCATATAAATAAAGGCGACCAGAAGTTGATTTAAAGTTTTTCTTCTGTAATTTGTCTCCCCTTTGTCGTGGCACGCTCAGGGAAAGTGAATGCAGTAGATTGAAAGGAGGAAGGGGAGTAGGGAGGAGGAAGGGAGGAGCAGGGAAGGAGCGGCTCCCAGCCTCCTCCTCCTCCAGCCACCCCCCCAGCCCTCCTCCCTGCTCTCCCCGCCGCGCCCCCAGCCCCCGCCCTTCCTCCGAGCTGGTCTCTCTCCCTCTCCACCCTCCACTCTCGACCGCCCTCGCTTTGGGGACTCCATCAGCTTTTGATTTGGAAGGACGCTGATTGGCTGGAAGCGATTCAACACACGCCGGGCAAGAGAGCTTTGTCTGAGTTGAAGTGAAGTTGTACAGATTTTAGACTGGAGTCAGCAATCACGGGTGTGTTTAGTCTGCAGCCGAGCAGAGAAAGGGGAAAGAATCGCTCGAGAAAGATTCACTGCAGACTCCGCCAGCACCCTGCAATAGATGGATTCCGACTACACGAGGGGGGAGACGCGGAGGTGACACTCTTCTCTGCCTGCAGACAGGACAGCCAAACAAATGCAAGGATCGGACTCGACGCCAATAATATCTGGAAGTCGTGACACGGTGTGTATAAAACAAAAGTTTGCGAGCTGTTAATTGCTGTGCTGTATTATTAAGAGACGCTTTCAAGTTTCAAGTACCAAATGTAGCTTAGCTTTAAGTTGCCAAAGGAAGTTGAGGGAATTGCTTTGCTGTTTTAACTTGGTCTGTGTGAGGAATCTCCTAAACTGACCGATGTGCCAAATGAATGCTAAAATGCACTTTAGATTTGTTTTTGCACTCCTGATGGTATCTTTCAGCTATGATGTACTGGGCAAGAATTTGAAATACAGGATTTATGAGGAGCAGAGGGTTGGATCCGTAATTGCAAGACTATCAGAGGATGTGGCTGATGTTTTAGTTAAGCTACCTAATCCTTCCACTGTTCGCTTTCGAGCCATGCAAAGGGGAAATTCTCCTCTCCTTGTAGTAAATGAGGATAATGGAGAAATCAGCATAGGGGCTAAAATCGACCGTGAACAACTATGCCAGAAAAACTTGAACTGTTCCATAGAGTTTGATGTGATCACTCTACCCACTGAGCATCTGCAGCTTTTCCATATTGAAGTCGAAGTGCTGGATATTAATGACAATTCTCCCCAGTTTTCAAGATCTGTCATACCTATTGAAATATCTGAGAGTGCAGCAGTTGGGACTCGCATCCCCCTGGACAGTGCATTTGATCCAGATGTTGGGGAAAATTCCCTCCACACGTACTCTCTCTCTGCCAATGATTTTTTTAATATTGAGGTTCGGACCAGGACCGATGGAGCCAAGTATGCAGAACTCATAGTGGTCAGAGAGCTGGATCGGGAGCTGAAGTCAAGCTATGAGCTTCAGCTCACTGCCTCAGACATGGGGGTGCCTCAGAGGTCTGGCTCATCCCTACTGAAAATAAGCATTTCCGACTCCAATGACAACAGCCCTGCTTTTGAGCAGCAGTCTTATATAATACAACTCTTAGAAAACTCCCCTGTTGGCACTTTGCTCCTTGATCTGAATGCCACTGATCCAGATGAGGGCGCTAATGGGAAAATTGTATATTCCTTCAGCAGTCATGTGTCTCCCAAAATTATAGAGACTTTTAAAATCGATTCAGAAAGAGGACATTTGACTCTTTTCAAGCAAGTGGATTATGAAATCACCAAATCCTATGAGATTGATGTTCAGGCTCAAGATTTGGGTCCAAATTCAATCCCAGCTCATTGCAAAATTATAATTAAGGTTGTGGATGTTAATGACAATAAGCCTGAAATTAACATAAACCTCATGTCCCCCGGAAAAGAAGAAATATCTTATATCTTTGAAGGGGATCCTATTGACACATTTGTTGCTTTGGTCAGGGTTCAGGACAAGGATTCTGGGCTGAATGGAGAAATAGTTTGTAAGCTTCATGGACATGGTCACTTTAAACTTCAGAAGACTTACGAAAACAATTATTTAATCTTGACGAATGCCACACTGGATAGAGAAAAGAGATCTGAATACAGTTTGACCGTAATCGCTGAGGACAAGGGGACACCCAGTCTTTCTACAGTAAAACATTTTACTGTTCAGATCAATGATATAAATGACAATCCACCCCACTTCCAGAGAAGTCGATATGAATTCGCAATCTCAGAGAATAACTCACCAGGGGCGTATATCACCACTGTTACAGCCACAGATCCCGATCTTGGAGAAAACGGCCAGGTTACATATACCATTTTGGAGAGTTTTATCCTGGGAAGTTCCATAACTACATATGTAACCATTGACCCATCTAATGGAGCCATCTATGCCCTCAGAATCTTTGATCATGAGGAAGTGAGTCAGATCACTTTTGTGGTTGAAGCGAGAGATGGAGGAAGCCCAAAGCAACTAGCAAGCAATACCACAGTTGTGCTCACCGTCATTGATGAAAATGACAACATCCCTGTGGTTATAGGGCCTGCACTGCGCAATAATACTGCAGAAATCTCCATACCCAAAGGGGCCGAAAGTGGCTTTCATGTCACGAGAATAAGGGCAATTGACAGAGACTCTGGTGTGAATGCTGAACTCAGTTGCTCCATCGTAGCAGGTAATGAGGAGAATATCTTTTTAATTGATCCACGATCATGTGACATCCATACCAACGTGAGCATGGAATCTGTTTCCTACACAGAATGGGAGCTCTCAGTCATCATCCAGGACAAAGGCAATCCTCAGCTGCATACCAAAGTCCTTCTGAAGTGTATGATCTTTGAATATGCAGAGTCAGTCACGAGTACAGCAATGACCTCAGTAAGCCAGGCATCTTTGGATGTCTCCATGATTATAATTATTTCCTTGGGAGCAATTTGTGCAGTGTTGTTGGTTATTATGGTGCTGTTTGCAACTAGGTGTAACCGAGAAAAGAAAGACACTAGATCCTACAACTGCAGGGTAGCAGAGTCCACGTACCAGCACCACCCCAAAAGGCCATCCAGGCAGATTCACAAAGGGGACATTACATTGGTGCCGACCATGAATGGCACTCTGCCCATCAGATCTCATCACAGATCATCTCCGTCTTCGTCTCCCACCTTGGAGAGAGGGCAGATGGGCAGCCGGCAGAGTCACCACAGTCACCAGTCCCTCAACAGTTTGGTGACGATCTCATCCAACCACGTGCCAGAGAGTTTCTCATTAGAACTCACCCATGCCACTCCTGCTGTTGAGGTAAGATCATACCCTGCACCAGTTCACTCAGCAAGTCAGCTGTGAGTGTTCAGCAGTGGTGTATGTGTTAGTTCTTAAATGTTTCCATTAAGAAGTAAACAAGATTAGCAATATTCAAATTAAATAGGATGCAAGTTGCCTTCCGTGTACGTAGCAAGTATTCATACCTTAGCGGGTTGTTTTGTTTTTCTTAAAGAATTTGCTTGCATGTATTATGTATAATATTGAAAAATAAATGTGAAGCTCCCAAAATGACTATCTAATTAGAATACCCTTACTTCCCAGATTAAGATACTGGAAGCCAAAAATAAAAGGACTTGTTTTATTCTCATAGTTGTGGTTCCTACCCCCAAAACAAAACAAAACAACAAAAAAACAAAACAAACAAACAAAATAACTGAGGCCTCCAGAATGCCATCCGAATGCATGTCACATTTGTTCAACTTCTGACATTTTCCTGACATAATTTTAGCTGCATGTGTTCAACTGTTGTAATTTACAACATTTTCCATACATTTTTATAACTGATCACTTTAATCTGAACTAAAAAAATAAAGGAAATCAATCTGTTATTTATCAAGGAGTTCTCTTTCCAAAAGAAAAAGTCAGTGTATGAGATCATTCAAATGTCTCTGGGGTAGATTCAGTTATGTGTGGTGGCTGGCTGCATAGTCTGCCACATTCCAGCATGTATAAATCTTTAAACCAGAGATAACATGTTCAATTAATTAGGATGAAATAGTGAGCAACTGTTTTTCCTTGCTTAAAGCTTGTGAGTATTTGGGGGTTTGTTTCCAGAAATCAGTTCTGTCTATTTGGTTTCCAGCAGGTCTCCCAGCTTCTTTCAATGCTTCACCAGGGGCAGTATCAGCCAAGGCCAAGTTTTCGAGGAAACAAATATTCCAGGAGCTATAGGTATGAATTATCCTCCTGCTACCTATTGAGTCCCACTGACATGAATGCTGACGAGTAAAAACCACACTTTCTCTGATTCATCTTTCTAGATATGCCCTCCAAGACATGGACAAATTTAGCTTGAAAGACAGTGGCCGTGGTGACAGTGAAGCAGGAGACAGTGATTATGATTTGGGGCGAGATTCACCAATAGATAGGCTGCTGGGTGAAGGATTCAGTGACCTGTTTCTTACAGATGGAAGAATTCCAGCAGGTAAGAGAGTAGTGATAGATGGTAAATCCTTATTTTCAGATCTGCTCCACCAATGAAGTGAACAGTCTCTCCCATGCTTCGATTCTTCTTTGTCCTTTGCACGGAAGTTATCTGTCATCATTGCTATTAGCAATGAACATAACCTGGCACACTTCAGAATCATTTTCGTAGAATTCATATGAAGCAGGTGGTAGAGAAGGAGTAAGCAAAAGAGCCTAGCAGGACAAGAAAGGAGTGGGGAAAGGAGGATAGAAAACCACAGCACTTCTTTCCTCTTCCTGCCCCATCCACAGGACACTCTTGAGCAACTCTTTATGAAATTACTGGGTGGTTGTTGTTATTCAAACAGCCTGTTTTGGTGCCTCGTGGTGAACTAGACTATAATTTGGAGGACGCAAATTTCCTGTGATGGGAACCAACTCAGAGAATCAGAGATTAAAATACACTAGAAAATGGTCCACTTCTATCACCAAAAATAGGACAAAGAATGCGTCTTTGTACGTGGTAAGCATAGGATATTTTTGCTACCTTTCATTTTCTATCTGCACTGTAGTGGAAAAGGAACAGGAGTTTAAGAGGGGAGTTTATAAGTACATAGCTACATGGAGGAGATCCTAGTAAGTTATGAGCCACATTTTCCTTAGAGTCCCCCGTCTCTAGTTGTGCAGTAGAAACTCTCTGAACCAGCTGGATAAATCCCGACTACATCACTGTAGCAGCCCTGTTACTCGAGACTGTAATATTAAATCGACTCGGAGGAACACGTAATGTTGCTTTGGCTACTTATGTTTCTAAATTCCAGGGAATTTTGATCAAATGACTGCCATTTGATAAATGAAAGACAGGCAGAACAAAACTATGACCCGTTTGAGTTCCATCAAACATCCATTTTCTAAACATAGATAAGTAAGAGAGTTTAGGAAATAGTTGCGGGGCAGCTTCAGAGAGCCACGGAAATGCAGGCGAAAGCACTGCATAGAAAGTTCTAGTAGTCGCCACTGGTAGTAACCAACAGGGTCCCGACACTTACCCAGGCCCCATGAGGACGTCGGTACCTGCATTCTGTCTCCTAACACTTCGACAGACATAGGAATTAGTAAGGGGTGGAAATAAGGGTAGTGTTCTTGTTTTTTTTTGTTTTTGTTTAGGTTTGAAAACTGAAGCTTATAAAGGTTAAAAAACATGTCCCAAATCAGGCAGTTTATAGATGGTAGAGGTGGGATTTGAATCAATCCCCACACTCTTAAACACTAACCTAGTAAGAGTAATATGGAGCAACAGTTTTTTTTTTTTTTAAAGATAAGTTTAGTAATGTATTTGTTGTTACGTTCTTTAAGTCTCACTACCGTCTATGAAATGATTGAATGCTGCCTATTTCCTTATGATATGACAGTACTAGATACTGCATCTCTGGCAGGATGAACCTGTGGAAAGGACTTCTAGTAACATTGAGGGCTACAGTGTACACGAGAACCAATATTTGCACAGTAGTGTCTTTGTTTCTTTGTTTTATTCATAGACTCCCTATTTAAAGGAAGAAAATAAATCTCTGAAAATCTAGTGGGGTATATACAGCCTCAGAAAACTTGCTCAAAGAGAGTCACTTTTATTATTTTTACCAATGAAATGAAAGAACCGTCTGGCTAAATTTCTATGATTCAGTGATACTGATGGAACTCTAATTTGGAAGATTGGTCCCCAATTTTGGATGATGTGATTTCCTAAATTACATTATTTCATAAAACAGAAAAGTAGTATAATGGGCATAACACCAATATTATAATGTATAAGTTACTTTTTAAATTGTACAAAGTCTATTCATTGAAATTTTAATTCATTGGCATGGTTAAAGGGAAAAGAACTTTCCTTATTTAGATAACCCTTCCATTTGGGGGCCTAAATGATGCCTAAAATCCTTTTTAATTCTGAAATTGCATAATTGTAACAGCTAAACTGTTTTAGAAAAAGGCAAGACTTCTCTTTCACTCTTTCAAAGCTACCAAGACCAGATGTGTTCATGGCAGAAGACTTATCAAATGATTGCTTTAGAAAATGCTAGTAAAGCCATTGAGGAAACAATGGGTAGATATAAAGTCTAGGTAATAGTGAGTCTTGCTTAGTGAGTGGCTTTAGATTCCTTATAAGTTAACATTTCTTTTCAAATTTAGAGGTTCACTTTTATATTATCAGTAATGGCACCACTTAATATATAGATAGTCCTTGAAAAAATTCTGTATTTACACAATCATACTTAATCTAGGTGTGTAGCAGGAGAGCTATATTGTAGGTTTATGGTGTTGTTTTACAATAGATACATTTTTTTCTTACTGGCTGCTTGCCTCCATGTGGGGAAAGCATTCTGGTGGCATAGAGCACCGGGATATTACCAGTGATTTATAAAGTATTTTAAGCTTTATTCATGTCTGGCTAGTATGGAAAGAAATGTGCATATTGAGTGTCTAAACAGAGATAACCATCCTTTAATTATGACCATCATTCTGATGATACTTCAACCATTTTCATTATTATTCATTCTGGCAGCTTCTGCCAGCATGTTAGGGTATAAAACTTGTGCTTTGTAAACTTATATTCCCAGGAAATAGCCCAAGTAGAAAAAAAAATGCAAGTCCACATCTGAATTCCATTAACAGAATCAGTGCAGTTTTCAAAAGCATGTATATTTTTAGGACTTAAGTGTCTTATTCCAACTATTTTTCTGCACTAAACTGTGATCAAATATAGATTATGTTATGTTGCACTGCCTGCCAACAAGGTCGTTTCTGGTCATTCATTCTATTAATTCCCACAGAAATATCTTGCATTCTGAGCCATAAAATCAGCAAGCATTTTTGTCTGTTAGCTCATGTTTGTCAACATACTTTCTTCCTTACTCATTCAACTTTGAACCACAGTGCCACACATATTCCTGCAAAATTTCCATTTTCCCAATCTATCAGACACACCAGAATGATTTATAAAGGCTTTTGATTTTGATTCTTGTGATACTCCTTTATTGAGCTCATTCCACTTTTCATTAATCTGCCATCTGTGATTACTTACCTAAAACATTTCTCTTCAATTCCATGTTCTGTCCATTGTCATGGCTGGTATGCCAGTTCTGGCCTTTCTTCCACGGCTGGTTTACTGTACCCGCACACAAGCTGATATTCACTCTCTAACACCTCCTCCCTTTGTCAAGTATTTCTTTTATGCAGCTAGAACAACTTTTTCAGAACATTTTAATTTACATTTCTTTTGGTTCAAAATCAGTAATTGACTTTTGTTGCCCAGCAACACCTAATAAAACTACTTCCCTTGGCATTCCAAGGCCAATAAAATCCACTCCTAGCTTATTAAATCTCCATTTTGGCTTTTTTTGTGTGTGTGTCTTTTGCAATAGGCAGAGCCATCTCTTCACATAACACACCAGTCCTTTGCTTATGTTGCCTTTCTTCCTGAAAAAATCTGGCTTCTCATCACTGTGTCTATCTGAGTCCCGTTCATCTCTCAAAATTTGTTTCTAGTTTCTCTTCCTTTACCTACTGCCGCCTCGACTTTCCCTCTTTTTTTCTTTTCTTGACATGCCTTCAGCATCATATAGCCTGGCATTTTAACTGGGCATTTAGGGCTTCATTTGTTACAGTTGAGTCAGAACTGGATCGGAAACCATTTGAGGACAGGGAGCCATCATCTCACTTGACATATGGCAGGCTCTGAAGACATAACCAATTGGTTACTCTGTAACTAATGGCTTGATAGACGTTAGGCCCGGGTTTTTTATTTCTTCTTCTTACGTTAGGATCTACCTATAAAATATAGTACAGTCACAAAATTGATAGTCATATGGTTGGAAAGAAGAGGTCTCTGCTTCCTCATATCCTCCCCTTCCCAGAGGAAATTTAACCATCTGGCCGCTTTCAAGAAGAGACAGAAAGATTAACCACAGGCACCACTTGCCAATAAGTTCTAACTTATTGGATGTGGTATGAAACCTCTGTGGCACTGAATTACGGGTACACTGAGAATGTTTTTAAACAGTTGAGTCTCCAGGGAAAAGTTTGAAAATATCAATGAAACAGAAATGCCCTATTCTGTGCCACTGCCCCCCATCTCTATTAATTTTTCCCAACCTTCTCTCCATTAGCTTTGCTTCAATATTTCCTACTTTATGACTTTGAAAATTGTATGTTAATTTATTTATTTTATAATTAAAGCTCCACTTATTTACTGCAAAGTTGTAAAATGGCATTCCCTGTTTTAAAAATTCCTATAACCAAATTACTTTTGAATATGGACTATCATTTTAATCATCCAGACTGTATTTTTGGTTATGTGTTCATTATATTCAGGTCTCTAGAAAATTGATCATATGCAGGATTCTTAGAAGCCTATGTAATCTTTCCTTTTTCCCCCCCTGTCATTAAATATTAAAAGAAAACAAAGCCGATCAAATAATCAATCAAACAATTAAGTCCTTCCCACAGAGTTAAAGGCCGGAAAACAAATGAAAGGTGTCACCAGATCTGTTTCCCTTCCTTCTAACAGGATGTGTGTGAGACAAGATAGGCAGATCTCTTTTCCATTTTCGGAGACCCAGGGAATTAGGGAAAAAACTTCATTACCACTTTGAGAATTATTTCACGGCTGAGAAAACCTCATTGCTATTAAGGCATTCTAGTTACTTTCAACTCCTTTTGGTTTTGTCCACATTAAATGATGAGCAATAGTTGGTAAATATTTCCAAGCAGTAATAATGCATGAAGTCAGTACATCTAAACATGCTTTTATTCTTAAATCATCCATCCTTATTTAAACTTAGCCTTTCTTCACAGCAAAAGTACACAAGGATTCCCAGTATTTGCCTTTTGTCTTACCCATGGTTAGCACTCATGCTCTCTCTGCATTTTCCCTACTTTCTTTGTATTTTTAGCTTTCCTGCCGATCAGACTTTTGTTCTCACCCAGTATACTTGCTATCATTTTTGTTCCTCAGATTAACCCCTTCTCTATTAAGAACTGAGGTCCAGAGTTCATGAGGTATAAAGCTGAACTATCTTCAAAGTTTAAGTGAAGGGCAGTGACTTCCACCCCTTTCAATAAAGTCCTCCATTTCTCCTTTTTTTTTTTTTTTTTTAAGAGAGGGAGGGAGGGTGGGGGTAGAGGGAGAAGCAGTGAGAGAGAGAGAGAATCTTAAGCTGGGAATGGAACCTGACCCCGGGGCTCAATCTCACAACCCTAAGATCATGACCTGAGCTGAAATCAAGAGTTGGACACTTAACAGACTGAGCCACCCAGGTGCCCCATTTTTCTTTTTCTGAAAGGAAACAGCTACTCTTCACTTTCCTTTTTTTGTATCTAAATCTTTTTTAAAATGTTATTTTATTGCATAAGAACACTGAACATGAGATCCACCCTCTTAACAGATTTTTAATTGTACAATACAGTATTGTTAACTATAGGTACAATGTTGTATAGCAGATCTCCAGAACTTACTCATCTTGCTTAACCAAAACTTGATGCCCATTGATGAGCAGTGCCCCATTTCCTCAACCCCTCGCACACACACACACCTTCTAGCAACCACCATTCCACTCTTGGATTCTATGAGTTTGTTAATTTTACATACCTTATATACATAGGATCATGCAGTATTTGTCTTGGCTTATTTCACTAAGTATAATGTCCTCAAGGTTCAGCCATGTTTGCACATAATGTAGACTTTTCTTCCTATTTTAAGGCTAAATAATATTCCATTGTATGCATATACTACATTTTCTCTATCCATTCATCTGTTGGTGGGCATTCAGGTTGTTTTCACATCTGGCTATTGTGAATAGTGCTGCAGGAAACAGGGGAGTGCTAATATCTCTTTGAGATCCTGATTTCAATTCTTTTGGATAAATACCCAGAAGTGGGATTGCTGGATAATATGGTAGTTATATATATATATTTTTAAGAATTTATTTATTTGACACAGAGAGAGAGAGAGTGAGAGAGAGAGAGCACAAGTAGGGGGAGCTGCAGGCAGGCAGAGGGAGAGGGAGAAGCAGGCTCTCCACCGAGCAAGGAGCCCGACATGGGGCTCAAACCCAGGACCCTGGGATCATGACCTGAGCTGAAGGCAGCTGCTTAACCGACTTAGTCACCCAGGTGCCCCTATGGTAGTTATATTTTTATTTTGGGGGGAACTTCCATATTGTTTTCCATAGTGGCTGCACCACTTTGTGTTCTTAGCAACAGTGTACAAGTATTCTAATTTCTCCACATTTGCCAACACTTGTTTTTTTTTTTTTTTAACAGCCATCCTGACAGGTTTGAAGTGATATCTCATTATGGTTTTGATTTGCATTTTTCTGATGATTAGAAAATATATAGTGAATGCTTATTCTATGCAGACACTTTACCTGGTGCTGGGGATATAGCAATAAACACAATAGACTACTTGCTTCCCCTTATAAAGGATTTGACATTGTTCAAGAATCATCCTTTTTTGCAATAATTTGGGAAGAAGAGAACTCTTTCCTCAGTGGCCAGATCTAGAGAATTAGCTCTGAATAGAGAGGAATGGTTGATATCAATCCAGTTTTCATTCAAATGTAAGATAATTACTTTGCATTTTCTGCGTTCTATCACTTGCTCTAAAATAAAATCATTATACCAAACAGACCATATTGTCACTGAAAGAGATAGATGGTTTGTGGAGTATATTTTACATTTTTGCATTCCTTTGTTGTCATGTGGTTTAGTTATGTATTTGGCAAATTTAGAAATTTTTCTCCTCTTTATTTTCTGCTTTTCTAATATCATCTATTATTTTCTATGAGTGTGGCCACTCACATTCCAATAGGGCATTATTACAACTGGAAGAGATAACCAATGGATTTTTTATATTCCTCAGCTTTTGATGACTTTTCCATCTATTTGAATTTCAAACTTTTAAAAAGAAGACTTCTTAACAGACTAACTATGGATGCCTGGTAGTTGAGGATTATTTGCACTGCTATTTTAAGTAACAAATCAATAAATCCAGAATACTTCGGAGAGAGATTAATAAGGATAATGACCTGATAGCTTATTATATTCCCAATGCTTCCATTAAAGGTAAAGTTAGGTAGACCTCAATATCTAGAAAGCTACTCATAGGTATTACTCAAAAATTATCTGGTGGCATTCTAAGATTATGGATTTCACCTTACAGCCCTGGGTTTTTGAGAATTTATGTTCAGCAAATATTTCATCACCCATACCTTTGCTCTTTTTCAGTCATCCTCATGTATAAGTTTTAAATCCATTTTCTCATTACCTGAGTAACAGAAATAATATTCCTGAGAAGTGTGTGAGTCATAACCCTCCTTTCCTTATTTGATAAACAGGAAAAAAAAAGTCCCTAAAACTGATATTCAGATTAAATCCATAAGTGTAGTCCATTTACTGTGTAAAATAATGGGTGAGTATCGTGGTGGTAGTTTAAAACTGTCTCGTTCTATTTTTTTTTAAATGAAATTACTTATTTTCCTATCATTTTGAGTTATGCTAAGTATGATCGTGAATCCCTATTGTTTCCCTTGGGGTAGCTATGAGGCTTTGCACGGAGGAGTGCAGGGTCCTGGGACACTCTGACCAGTGCTGGATGCCACCGCTGCCCTCGCCATCCTCTGACTATCGGAGTAACATGTTCATTCCGGGGGAGGAATTCCCAGCGCAACCCCAGCAGCAGCATCCGCATCAGAGTCCTGAGGAGGACACCCAGCCTGCAGATTCAGGTGAGAAGAAGAAGAGTTTTTCCACCTTTGGGAAGGACTCCCCAAACGAGGAGGACTCCGGGGATACCAGCACATCCTCTCTGCTCTCGGAAATGAGCAGCGTCTTCCAGCGCCTCTTGCCCCCTTCCCTGGACACCTATGCTGAATGCAGCGAGGTGGATCGGTCCAACTCCCTGGAACGCCGCAAGGGACCTTTGCCAGCCAAGACGGTGGGTTACCCGCAAGGTGTGGCTGCCTGGGCAGCCAGTACACATTTTCAGAATCCCACCAACAACTCTGGTCCCCCACTTGGAACTCACTCCAGCGTGCAGCCTTCTTCGAAATGGCTGCCAGCCATGGAGGAGATCCCCGAAAATTATGAAGAAGATGATTTTGACAATGTGCTCAACCACCTCAACGACGGGAAACATGAACTCATGGATGCCAGTGAGCTAGTGGCTGAGATTAACAAACTGCTTCAAGATGTCCGCCAGAGCTAGGAGATTGTAGCGAAGCATTTTTGTTTCCATATATATGGAAATAGGGAACAGAGAAAACCCTGAAAGAACTGGCATTGCCAAATAGTTGCATTTATCATAAATGTGTCTGTGTATATTGAATATTAAATACTGTATTTTCGTATGTACACAATGCAAGTGTGATTATTTTAATCTGTATTTTAAAAATACATTTGTACCTTATATTTATGTGTAATTTAACAGACAAATTTTATTTTTTTACTCCCATGACAAACATGTCTTTCCTAATCATGTAGAAACTAGTCAGTGTTCAAATAGGATATAGTAGTCAACCACAAAGTATAAAGGCACTGTGTAGATTAGTTATGTTGGGGAAGAAATTGCTATGCTGTAGGAACAACCCCACTAAAGTATTATATGATTCTTAGTTTTGTTAAGTGATCCAGTTTCTTTTTTCAATGCTTAAAAAATAAAATTAAGCATCAATAAAAATATTAAACTATTTTATTATCATTATTTTTACTGCTCTCTGCTAGTTCTGATAGTTCAATTACAGCAAAATTGAAACATGAGGTGAAATTTCATTTTAGGACTGGGAAGTACCTTTCACAGACAATGATGAAACTAGGGCTAGAGTCAATGCTTCCTAACCCCCAGGGCCCTACTATTCTGGGGCATCACACTGGCCCTTTCTTGAGAATATTTCTCCTGAAGTATTATTGTCTATTTGTAATCAAGGTAAACAATGAATTTCATTCCATCCTTGTAACAGCAGACATGCTCCAAGGAAATGGAATCTGTCCTTTAAAGGAGTAACAGTATGTATTCTAACAGCAGAAAGTATTAGTGGACGAAAACCATTATGTCGGTGTCCCTCCCAGGGTCGTAAATGTAATCGATTTATTCTGAAACTGTTCTATTTGAATCTTCCCTCTCCTCTCACAATACTTGAACATTTTTATCTTTTGCAATGTTTTTGCTCTAACTATTCACTTTTAGCTTTTGTCTCCAGTGCATGATCTCGTATTTTGCTTTTATTTTTAGTATAAGACCATTTATAAAATTATGATTTTGTTATTGCAGTTCTGTTGTATTTGTTGTGTGACAAACAACAAATTCTTTAATTATTGTGCTGTTATCTCTCTGTGTGGAATGCTTCCGTAAAGGAGATCTTTATTATGACTGTTTTCATTTATGACCAAGCTTCTATTAATGTTATTTCTATGAATACACTATCTTGATTGTACTCTCCAGAAAATTTTGCTGTCAATGAAAATAAAAGGAAAATTAAAGTAAAACTAAAGAACTGTCCATAAATCAGAGTCCTGTTCTACATATATGTTCAAAAGTTTTGCATGAAGTATATCCTTCATGAAAGGATAATTCAGTTTTGAGCTTTGAATGATAAAGAGGGAACATTCAGCTGGCTTGGCAAACAAGAAAAACACAATGGAAAAGGAATGAATTTGAGGCCTGTAATGGGAAAGAAAGAAGTCTACCATATTCCCAGTAGATTAAAGAATTTAAATGCATTTGAAGTGTAAAAAAAAAAAAAAAAAAAAGAATAATCAAATAGTAACTGCTGGAACATTTTTTAAATTAAAAAAAATTCTTTCTCAGAACATTTTGTATTAAGTTGGGTCAAAAAAAATGTGCCTCACAATGTTTCCAAGAGGTGAAAATATTATCCTGCTTGGTTTACTAGCAGGGAATTGAAATACGAAGAAAGTTAAATAGCCTAAAAGAGGCTAAGCTCATATATTTTAAATCTCAAATGAGCACCACATCAAATAGATGTGTTATGTCTTCTAAAGGGCACATTTTCCTTTATAGGAGGGATTGCAGTTACAAGGGAAATTTCCGTTTATTTTTCAGTAGATTACCCACACAAATGCTAACCACATTTAAAAAGATTTTTTTTCAAATTCACTTCCTTTTAGTACATATTATCATTAAGAAAAAAAATTTCATAACAACGCTGTTTTTAATTTAAAGCACCACTAGTAATTAGGAAGCAAAGCTGGAAATCAATGTTTAAATAATGTGAAGTAAATAAAATGCAAAATTATACTAAATACAAAACCTTTGTGTATTGTCTGTAGAGTAAAGCTTCCATGTTTCAGACTCCTTGCCCCTCCAGCCTTCACTTATTATGGCTTTCTAGACCCACAGGTAAAGGGGATATTAGTGCAAGATTTTCACTTTTCGCTCCTGTTCCTTTCACAGATAATATAATCTCAGTGAAAGCTCCACTCTCTGGTGCTATCACAGCAATTTAACCTTTAATCAATTTACATTTTCTCTTTGATACCATGCCTCTCCTCAGACTGAAACAATTGAAAAGCACTTAAACCAAGGAGGTTCTTTTTTCCAATCATGGTTTCTTAATCCCTTTGTCCCCATTCAGTTCCTTTAAATGTTCTTCAGTGAGAGAGAAAGAGAGAGAGAGAGCAGAAACAGAGGGAGAGGGACAAGCTGATTCCCCACTGAGCAGGGAGCCTGATGTCTGACTTGGGGCTTGATCCCAAGATCCCAGCCGAGATCCTGACCTGAGCCAAAGTCAAACGCTTAACCGGCTGAGCCACCCAGGCACCCCAGTGATAATCTTCTATTAATAGGATCATCTTCCAAAAATGTAATTCAATATTGAATCTGTTGCTTAATAAATCTTCCTTTTAAATGTTTATTTATAGGATGATTAGAATTGGCTTTCTTCAAATTCTTATAGGTTATTAACATTGTTATTCATTTATCATTTCTTTCTTGGTATTTAGCAGGTGAGACTTAGGACTTTATTAATCATTTAATTTCTTTCTCCTTCTGTCATAAATCTATCAAATTTACCACTTGCCAGTAGTTAACTATTCAGGCAAAAAATGGTTAAACTACTCTTACTGGAGTTACTGAAGTCTCATTTGTGAAAATCATCTTAGAGTCCTTGTTTCATTGTTTTGATACCAGCTAATGTCCGAAAATATTCAAAACTGAGTTTGAATTATTGACACATTAAAGTTCAAGCATTGTGAGGGGCGCCTGGGTGGCTCAGTTATTAAGTGTCTGCCTTCAGCTCAGGTCATGATCCCAGGGTCCTGGGATCGAGCCCCACATCGGGCTCCCTGCTTGTCGGGAAGCCTGCTTCTCCCTCTCCCATTCCCCCTGCTTGTGTTCCCTCTCTCGCTGTGTCTCTCTCTGTCAAATAAATAAATAAAATCTTAAAAAAATAAAAAAATAAAAAAATAAAATAAGATTCAAACATTGTGAATCTATTTACAAATTAGTTGTGTGGGTGAAAAAGGTATTGCTTGACATAGCAATTTTCAATCCCCCATGAAATCATAGAACTGGTAGAACACAGTTCAGGTAATTAGCCAGACTAGTGAAAAGGTTTTGATGTTCCCGTTTCAACTGAATATATTGTGAATGTATCATCACAGTATCAGAGATTGGGGATGCGATGAACTCTGAAAGGCAATAAATATTGCTTTGTAAAATTAAATTCAAACCATACAAAAGTTTTAAAGATATATGTTGAGTCTTAAAAAGAGTACAGGCATTTTAAAAGACCCAGCATATTGATTTCCTTAATTGCAAGTTAAATTCATAAAACAAAGCTATCTTATATGTAGAAGCTGTCTTATATATTGTGAAAGTATGAGTTACCTTACTGATTGTAATCATTTTTAATGTATCAGGATGTTTCCAACCGTGAAGGATAGAAATAATTTTATGTGGTTACATAAAGTTTTAATTTGATAAATGAAGCTATTTGAGCCATTGAAGATTCATCTCATTCAGTTTAGTTCCCAGAACAAACAATAAGTCACTTTTTTGAAATAAGGAAATGATATCTAAGGTACTAGATTACAATTGAAAAACCTTTATTGCCCAAGTTGTGGCTCAGTCTTCATCTGTGTAACTGGAGTCATTGTCAAGTATATACAATCTGTATACCAGAAATAATAGGACCTTTAATATACTCTAAACATATATATATATATATTCGATATATATTGAATAGGTAGACACTGTATAACAGATCTGAAAGTGATAGTATATGCTTCTCATTAATTTATATTTTTATTATATGCTAACTTATACAACCTGTGGAATGGTTAGAAGAATTTTATGAGGATTTGGCATTGCAAAAATTGCTACCAAAATTTACATACTTCTTGACTTTTAAAATTGCAATAACATCCTACTCTGGCACTTTAAAATAATAGTTTTCTATTTCCTTTTATGACTTTTGCAAGTTGCTCCTAATTCTTGTTTGCTTTTTTCAGATTTTATCTTTTCAATTTATTTATTTTATGGTACTCTTCCTTGATAATTTACCCTACTGTCCACATTTTATAGCAATCTTCTCCAAATTTTTGCATGCATATAGCTCTTTATATAACCACTTAGATTTTATCAAATTTTTCCACATCTTTTCTTTGTTATTAATATAACAGGGATCATATTTTTGAGATATGAAACTAATACCTTTTCATTCTCAGTAAACCTTGCTCCTCTAACTCACTACTTTAATGGAAGGGTAAATTTATACAGTTAAGAATGAAGGGGTCATTTCTGTTGTTCTGTTTTAAATTAAATGTGTTTGAGTGCCTAGGGAGACATTAGTTTTGAAAACTTAATTTACTGAGGTGGAATTTTTTTTTTTCTAAATATAAGACCCTTCTCTTTATGTATTAAGGATTGGGCCAGGAAAGGTAAGCTCGGAATCTTAGTATGAGCCAAAGTTAAGTGCAAGGAAAGAAACGTAAAAGTAAGAAAGACCCATTGCCACAGAAAAGAAAGATGACTCAGGCAACTGTTGAGAGCATAGAGCCCTAAAGGTGAATAAACTGAGAAAGGCAAAATCTCAGATGTTAGCATTTTCCATAGTCTCACCTCCGGTGATCTTTAAAAGAACCTGTAGAACAAAGCACAACTTTGGGAGAAGATGTTTCTCCTTTCCCCGACTCTCCCCACACAGGAGGGCAGACGTGGAAAAACTGGTGCCAAGGTCAGGGTGTGCATGCCTCTGACATAACATCCTTCCTCCTTATTACCTTTGGCTGGCCTGCAGAAGATTCCAATTTCCTTTCTTACCCAAATTGGGGAGGAGCTGAGAGTGTAACTGTACTACATTCAAAAGTGCTTTTATCTAAATGAAGGAACACTTTCTAAAAGGCCAGGTACATTCTTCTTTTATTAAAAGGTTCAATCTGCAGCTTAAAAGAATTAACCACACAGTATTCTAGACAGAAGAGACATAGACTTCTTTGGAAGTAGATCTTTGTGTTAGCCAGAGTTTTAGGTTCCAAAAAATCTACACAACTTCTAGTGGATCTTGTTCCATGAGATGCAACATTGAAAAAATTCAATTAAGAATATTTTATGAATTCTGACCAGAAAAATATTTTGCCTGTCCCTGACTTGTGATTTGGCTCTGTTCTGCAAACTCATGCCTGGAGACTGTGTATGTGGATTGCATGAACCTCCTCTGTAGAGTTTGGATAATTGCTGGATGTAGGGTGGCAAATACACAAGAAGATCATCTGACAACAAAGTGTCGTTGTAGGAAAAGTCTACAAAGGACCAACTGCTACAACTGACTCAGTTCTTCACTGTATTTTCTCCCTTTCCTTTTTCCTCACTTTCTTCTTGAATGACAACTGAGTAGAGGGGCAGCATACAAAT